CACACACACACACACACACACACACACACACACACACAAATATAAAACAGTTAAACCAAGTGGAAGAATTCAAAGTTGGATATAAATCTTAAATCAAGTTTTCTAAGAAGAGTGTGAAATTGAATCCCTATGTCAGGTAATGAAATTAAATGTAACCACATAGCATATGTTATTGATCAAATAATTCACACCACATTTCTGCTTTGTTACACCCTTTTCTCTCTTCCCATCTGGCTAAAAAGCATAAGAACTTTGCTTGGATAGTTGAAGCTTATGCAAGAAACATTGCCTCTCACAGATGGCACCTCATTAATTATAGCTTGCAACAAATAGTTTTCTCAACAAGATTGTTGTCTGTCTACACATGAAAGATGACTAGCCATGCAATGCTTCTATATTTCATTGGGAATTGTGGAGGAAGAAAATACTAATATTTACTCCTTGAGTATTTAATAATCAAAGAAATGTGTAGGGCTATGGTCATTCTGTCAAATGTGGAAGTTGAGAACCACTTTACTAAATGGTTCCTAAAAGTGCTTTCACCTCTAAATCCCTTAAAAGTCACCATTGATGCTCCTTTAGGAAGAAGTAGAGATAGCCTAAGTGCCCCTATAGCTGTTAAAGAGCCTATCTATCAATACAACTGCAATGAGGAGTTTCCTGTACAAGTTCAACACATGCCTCGGGTGCCTTAAAACAGTGCTGTAAACTAAAGATTCCGGTATATCTTTTGGGTTCTTTGTAAGACATTTGTAGAGAGAGAACATGGTAATAGTGATTAATATGTACTATGCACCATTGTATATAATTTCACAACTCTGTTAGTTATCTGTTATGGTGCCCAAGTTAAAGCTGCACTAATTAAACTAGCCAGGGAAGGGAGATCTGTGCTTGAAAACATTCTTATTTGGTCATACTGGCCATACTAAGGGGGTGAGCCTTAAGCCTGTGTGTTAGTTTGCAAAGTAGATGATACTGATGGTCTGCTGCAGAAGTGGACTATGTTGCTCAACTCCTCATTCTGACCCTCTTAACCTTAGGGTGGGCTTGTCTTCGTCTGATAGTCCCTGACAGAATTCAAAGCAGGAAAAAAAAATCCCTCAAGGTCTTTGAGTGTAAAGAACTCATATTCTTAGTACTGTTCTCTCATCGTGACAAGGCTTCCTAGGCTTGTATCCTTGAAGCTCATTAAAAAACATCTCTCTCAGGTCTCCAGTGACCTTCACTAGCAGGGGCAGGTGAGGACAGATCTGGGAAAAATCTGAGGCATACAGGTCATCATCCAGAGACTCCACTCTATTCGTGAAATTTGAAGCTAGAGCCTTCTGCCTTTTCTATTTAATAACCGGTCAATCTTGCAATTAACCCCAAAGAAATGTGTATTTGTCTTAACGTCAAACACATTTCCCACATCCTTATGCCTAGTGGCTGCTCTGGGACAAAGGCCAATATTTTAGCTGGTGTTTTTCTAAGTGGTGTCCACATGTTTCAGCTGTAGGTAGAAGAAACAA